CTCGGAAGAGTTTCGTCTGACGGCAAAAAAATGCGCCGTCTGCCAATCATTTGCGCCGGCTGACAAGAGAAGTAGTGCCGCTACCTAATCGTGAAATCATTAAGGGATATAGTGGAAAACTTTCCAGCACTATAGCCGGTCCTCTACCTTTTTGACTGGCTACACGGATGAAGACTGAAACTGCCACACAAATAATTTCGTCTGCTCCAGTTGTCTACATGTCAATCACAAAGAGGTTCCTCACCTGGCATAAAACGTAGTCCAGAAACCCTTTGTGGGTACGAAGTTTTTCTGTCAAGACTGTGCCGGCGTATCCATCGGAGCCATTCATGACACCGGCGAACCGATTGCTCGAGCGTCGCCTTGTCCTGGTATCTACTGGTTGCCCGAACTCTAAACAAACCAATACTGCTGGCCGTAGCTCCATTACGTTCGCCGAGTTTTACGGCTGGAACAATTTATTACGGTACGACGGACGATCTTAAACTTCGAATGAGCGGAGAAGCTACAGTGCAAACACGGCCCCAAAGAACACAAAAAATAGCATAACAGCGACGAATCCACCCAACCGCGGGTTCCGGCGAGATTCCTGAACCGGGACTAGCGTTGCATCATGGCCTTGTGAAAGAGCCGAATAGAAGATGAGTTTTTTGTTTGCATTAGTTCGGCGTGGATCTCCAATCAATAGCGCCTATAAGAACAGACCTGCACCTTTTCTCTCTTCTAACGACATCACCAGTGGATCTACGTACAGTATCATAATAAAACTCTCCATTTGCTGCGTGCTTATTATTTTGTGACTTTTAGAGCGGAGTTCTTAAAGGGCAACTCCGCTCAATTCCGAAAAATTTAGGCTTAGATGTGATTTCATTTTACAAAGCACTACTAAACAGCTCTACGTCCTCGGATTCACGAAATGTGGAATATTATTTGTGTAATCTTAATTTAAACATCAGCTGATACCTAAACCAAAACTTTGGTTGCGTCAGGCAGCATTGGTCTCGTGTCGTCAGAGTCATGGCCACGTCATGTCCAGGGTTGGGCAGAAATACTCATCTGGAAATACAAATACTGGGATACACTAAAATAGTAGCTAAAATGTTGATACTAAAATACATCTGTAAAAATGCATCGCGATACGTATCGGAAATACATTTTAAAAAGAGGCAAAAAGTCTTTGGAAATACAAATACAGGAATACATTTCGGGAGGGCAGAAATACAAATACAGAAATACTAATACTGCAATACATTTTCAAATTTGTTTGAGACGCCAACTGAGATGAAGATTGAAGTGGAAGTTTTTTCTCCACCCTTAGGCTTTGCATATTGCCTTGAAGGTAGTGGTTTCGGACGACAAGGTGTCTTCAATGGGCTCAAAGAAAAAAAAACGTTTCATCAAGGACTGACCGCGGTCCCTTCCCTGACATCCAGTCTGTCTGACGAGGGATGTGAAAAGACTTCGATAACTAAATAAATTTTATGTCACCCTGAATCCCATCAAAACTTCACCACGCCCCTGTCCAATAAGGACGCCCCTGTCAACATTTATCACATGACGTCACGATGAAATTAACTGGTATTCTTCATCTGTAGGTTTGGTCTTGAACAAGAAAATTTACCACACTGCTGTATTAAAGAACAATACATACTTTCGTTGTGGGTTACCTAGATGAAGATCGTGCAGGCAGTGCCATTTGGAATTTTTGAGAATAGCGGACCACCATTCTGGAACAGATGTAAACGATACGGTGGCATCCCTGTTCTGAAGGTCCTTCCTGTCGACCCTCCGCCACCGACGCATGGATTGCAGTCCGCAAGTTTCACCTAGCGTTATCCAAACAGAGACTTTGTGAATTGCGACCTGATATTGCCGGCACAGGTGCGAGCTCTCCTAGAAACGGCGCGCTCGAGACGAGTCGTATGTGTACGAAGTCTTGGTCGGTATAGCTAGGTTACGTCTGGCCCCCCTCCTGACTTTCGAATCACCAGAGCAGCGGGTCACGTACAGGTCGGCTGCTGACGTACCTGAGCCGTGCAATATTACGGGCGCAGTCGCATACGCATTCGAATATGTGTTGAACTTTACTGAGTGAGTCATCCTACTATTTCAAGTCAACCACCACCAGGCTCGTGCTGCAACGGACTGTGACTCAGCTTTGCCGGCTGGGTGTACTGTGTACGCTAAGGCAAGAGAGTCGGTTAGCAGCGGGCGTTGGATGTCAGCAAACAATGACTCAAGAGATCCCTTTCTAAGGACCTGCGGCAGAAGATGCTCCGACTCTTCTCCTGGCTCGCCACCTGGTTCGAGTTCCCGACTACGCAACACTTCTCGGAAGAGAGAAGAGGACGCATAGAAAAATAGTTTGGAGATTTGGAAGGAACCTGGGTCAGCATAGTAACAATGCCCAAGCAACTCCTTTACCCTGTTGCCTTCAGAATTAAAAAAAAACAAAAAACGGTCGGGCTTGTATTTTTTTTTTTCGGGGGGGGGGGGGGGGGGGGAGTATTTCTCAAGAGATGTAACGAAATGCATTCTATCCTGATTGCATCGCGATACAAAGAAACATTCCAAATGTATTTTGATACAGAAATATAGATACTGTCGAAAAAAATGTATCGCGATACAGAAATACACAGACCAAATGTATTTCTAAAATACTATCGCGATACATTTGTATCGCGATACTGCCCAACCCTGGTCATGTCGAACCACGTGGTGTTGTGACGTTCGTGGGGGCGAGGCACAGGACACGCGACGCGGGCAGGTCGCAGCGACCTGCCTCCGTCGCATCCACACCATGCGAAGCGCATGGCGTGGACGGTGATAGCCCGGGGGAGAGGGGGAAGGGGATAAGACGAAAAGAGAGAGGGGGGAGGGGGGAGCGGATAAATCGGACTTGCGATAAACGCGCAGGGCAGCGCAAACTAGCGCATCCGCGTTACGGTGATCACGCGTTGAGCCAACAGCGGGAGGAGACACTCATGACGTCATCGTTCAATTTCGCTATGAAAGTAAAAGCAAACAAAACCTGAGAATGACATAGTCATGCCTCTGACGTAGTGGTTCAACGTTGACCACTCCAACTCCGTGGCACTGACTGTGCTGATGATTTCGCCTCACGTCGCACGCTAGAGTTGGCAGATTTCGGTAACTTGGCTGATTTGAAAGTGTGCTGGCCAGTTTATTAAATATATAGACCGAATTAGATCGTAATATTTGACATGGTGTCTTCCTATATAATACTGAAGAGGGCTGCATAGTTTTCTAAATATAAAAAATGAGGCGGAGTTGCCCTTTAAAGGCTAGTTTCCCCAGGATCGTGTCCGCCGGATTAGAAATTATGACACCGAACTCTGGACAGCTACCACCACCTATGAGCGACGGCGGCAACCAGACAACTTGTTGCCGCCGTCGCTCATAGATGGCGGCAAGCTTTCTTTGGAGGAAGAAGAGCGGGAGCGGAACGAGCGGCGATGTCCGCAGCAACGCGTATGGTTCCGCAGCCGCCGCGAGGCCGCTATCGCCTAAAGTTCCACTGCCGTCGAGCGCTTCAGATTCCCTAGAAAAAGAAGAGCAGATCGCTCGCCTGAACAAGGCGAGCGATCTGAACTGCGCCGAGAACAAGCTACAGTTCCGCTGCACTTCCTTCTTCACCAGAGTGAAAGGCTGAAAGGTTTTTGCAGTTTTACTTTTGTGCCCTGCCCTTATCAGAAACTCGGCTATCAGGCTGGCAACTATCAGATTTTTTTTTTCTTCTGTCATTACTGCCAGCCTCGAACTCTTTCTGCGTGGCGCAGAATCGGTAATAGACACCGTGCCTTCCGCTCAATCACGTGTAGGCGATTCATTTGTGAAATCAATTTTATAACCTTCCTAGCACAAAATAAAACAAAATACAGAATACTTTCTTTGAAGTAGTTGCAGTGGGACCGTGGACATAAATAACAGCACCATTTCTGTCTCTGAATCTTTAGTGAAGCGATATGAACCTAACTTTTTTTTTTTATTCCTAAAAGGTTAATCTTTTCTTTTTTTTATATTAAATATTGTATGTCTTGTCGTTTACCAGTTTTCCTGTATGAGTATGAAAAGGGGGAGAGGCGCTTTTATCTCTACCTGCGAGAAAGAAGCCGATAAATCTTAGTCATTATAGCTGTTTTCACCCCTTTTTCATTGCCAGAAACTTAACAATGTCGTGCTCATGTTTTTTTCCGGCTGAGACTGGTGTTCAGTCAGTGAGTGCAAAGCTTCTAGCCGATTCCTCCCACCGCGCTCTCATTCAACTGGGGCCCCCCGTTGTCCCGCTGCATGTGACGCAAAACATCTAGCTCTACGGACTTGCTAACTTGAAGGCGTTTACAGGAAGTGTCGGTAGATGACTTCCCCCGTAATTCGTTGACCGTTTTGGCGCGCGGCCTTCTACGAACTTTGCAAAAGCTCTATTGTTTGTGAAATATTTCTATTTACTTTAACAAAAAACAAATATGCGACTTAACGCAAAACAAAATATATATCATGACGTGGCCTAGAAATATTGATTTCTTTTTTACCCATTTACAGAAACATGTTTTCGTTTTATTAAATATGATTACTGCCCAGAGCAATGAAGTCAACGTAGAGTTACTTAAAAATAGTGCATAAAATGCTGAGAAGATAAATAAGCCCGGACTCACTTGGCAGAGTTTGATTATGTTTGAGTGTGCCACGTAGAGATGCGAAAAAGACACACCAGAGCACCTAATTAATTTGAATATTAATTGGCACGAAGCATACGAAGCTCAAACGTCCAGGTAACTCACATTTGTATCTCGACGTAACTCACTCAAATGCTACAGTGTTAATAAAGATCAATATTGCAAGCACCATTTCAAAAATCAACATCAACGTTGGCGACAAACCTATATAAATCTTTATTTTACAAGAATTATCGGGAATAACGTTGAAGCCATTCTTAAGCCATTAACACCCAATGGTGCTGTCTTAAAAAGCGGAAAAATCTAAACCACTCCTCCCAAGTCCTCAGAGCTCCACAGAGCCTTAAGGGCAGGGGCTACATTCTTCTCGTGTATTCTGAGGCGCAGTTGCTCCAGATGTTCTTCCTTGAAGAGCGTTTTCCAATCGCCTACTATCCCTTTACGAACGAGTACACTTTTGTTCAGAAACCCATCAGAACCATCAAAGGCAAACCTCTTTGTGGCCTCTAACATGTCCTTATCGCCTTTTTCAACCAATTTTCTCATTTTCTCTTCCGTAATCATCAGAAACTGGGACATGAAAGAAAGGCTGCTCTGTTCCACAACCTTTTGGAAGAGTTCGTTCGACTCCAGCGGCTTCGCGTACTCCTCTCCCAGAAAACGAGCAAGTCTCAAGACAGTGTTTCTGAAGTTCCTCTTGAGTTCCTCATAGGTGACAAAGAAGACGTTGATGTCATCCTTATGAGGGTACCAGGACATCAAGTGGTCAAAGAAGTCGCCACGATCGTTCTGGCCTGTCACGAAGAGCTCGAAGAAATCATCAAATGTTCCATCCTTGAATCTGTACACCGGCACAGAGCGAGTGAAGTGGTAGAAGGAAACGCAGACGTCCAGGGGGTTCCTTGTCAAGTACACGTACTTGGCCTTAGGGTTCATGGGCTGGCGTTCGTAACTGAAATGAGTCTTGAAAAAGCGAGGAGGGTGCATGTCCTTCAAAGGGTCCGTGCCTACCATTTCGATGTATGGCGTTCGTTTGTTGTACTCCGTTAGGTCGTTGGCGGACTGGCCCCTACAAAAGGTGGCGTGTGGTTAGTAGTCAAGAAAGCAACAAGCATTGCAATCTTTAAGCTCACTGACCCTGTTGACAAAAAAAAACAGCTTAGTACGTGAATCATGATATGAACTGACAAAGCGCCTAATTGTGAAGGGTCTAACCATAAGCTTGGTAAGTACACAGCTGCGCTTCAATTCCTCACAGCTCCCGCAAATCCCTATTAGTGCAATAACTGTTCCTTAAAATAGGATCTACTCAGAGAAGCGTCAGAAGGGACTCGAACCAGCCATCTGGGAATCCGTAGGCCGGCAGTTTGCCGAGTCACCGAGGCAGCTTTAGTTACAGTAGAAAGAACGGTGCATCAGACCTTGCTTACCTGTATAAAATGAGTTGCATGATTTGTTCAAGCCAGTTGTTGCCGCATTTAAGAGGGGAAACCATGACAATATCTCCATCGTGGGGCATGTAGCTCAGTGCCTCGCGGACGAGGTTAACCTTGTATCCCAAAGAGTACTTCACTCCGTCGATATCCTGATAGACAGGAACGCGCTTCGAAGACATTCCTGCAAAATAAAAGTAGACTTCAAAAACTTTAGACCAGCAATAACTTCAACTGTTACGCATAGCTGATTTTTATCATTTCGTGATTTAGGAGTTGCTTACAGGCCCATAGAACTATTATCGCTGCGGTTAAGAGAGGACAAGGCTTGGTGATGCGTATCTTACAGGAGCCTCGGGTATTTAGGCAGTAAATCCTATATGGGGCAATTACACTAACACTTTGATCCCACTTTGGGCGGTCCTCAAAAGTCGATTTTCAACGTATCACGCTAAATTTAACTGCAGAGGTGCGTCTAGCCAGTGCACGCTTGGAGTTAAAATATCAACGGATGAGCTTACGTTGTTTAAAACGAAAAAACCTGTTTCGGGCTATTTGCCGTGGCATTCACAGGCGACGTCATGACCGAGCTCGCCTAGTTAAATCTCCCACAGACAAATCTAAAAAGCGTCGAGCGTGCCGGAAGAGGCGCACGCCTACCTAGTGAAACGTCTCCGAAGATATTCTGCTAATCTCGGTGCCGGCGCGCTCGACGCTACCGACATCTGTCGGCGGCAGATTTAACTAGGCAATTCCAGCCAAGACGTCGTCTGCGAGTGCAGCCACAAATAACCCGAAACATATTTTTGTTTTTCTTTTTTGAACACGGTAAGTTAAGCCGTTGATATTTTTTTCTTTATGAGTGCACCACCTAGCCTCACCTCTGTAGTAAATCCCAGTGCAATACACTGAGAAACCGATTTTCGCAATGTGTCCAAAGTGGTATAGAAGCGTTCGTGTACATGCTGTATATTGACCGAAAGTGCGGATGGGCGAATAGCGGTTCAAATCGAATAGCGCACACTGCAAAAAGAGCCCAGCCTGTGTGCCGTTGGTTTCCCCAGAACTGTGAAGGTGATCAATAACGCACTGCTATTCGGTTAAAACCGGCAGTCATCCACCGCTAACCCAAAAGGCATCCATACCTCACCTGTGCCAGCAGGCCCGAAAAACGTAATGCCTAATACTATTCATTTGTTGATTTAACTGTTTAGTGGAAAAGTAATGATTGGTCTTCTTATATAACTGCTGCTCAGCATAGTATATAAAGGAACCTTTGCAATTATAGAGTGACGATGATTGGGCCCTTGCCTTTTTCTGCCGGACCGCCGATCTTCTCTATTCAATCAAATGTTACTATTATCATAAGCTAAAGATGTTCCTGTCGCTGATGTCTTCAGAACAGTTTTTTGTCGCTTGTCGGTTGAAGTTCGCCACGACCTCAATAACAACCTAGTTCGTACCCATATGTAAGGCAATGGATGGCATTGGAACCGAAGGGTCAAACACAGCAATCGAGGAAAAGAGGTGATATTGACGAACTCCAGGGCTGCCTCTGTTTCCTTACATCAATAAAAACAAGCTTCACTGGTTGCAACAATGGTGGCTGCTGCAAGGTTGACCCTGAAGTTGAGCTGGCAAATTGGCTTTCAGTGGCCACCGGCACTTTCTTGAATTTTAGAAAACAAAAAGACTGACGTCTTTGGTTAGTAATGCAGCCCTCTGTTAAGATACTGTACGCGTAAAGTCGAAGCGTATCACGTCCACTATCTCGCTTCAGTGCTGCAATAAAGCCCGGCGCTTTATCAGTGCTTACTGCACCAACTTCCTCCCTCATTCAAATGTTGCAGATTAGAGCCTTTCACCTTAGACTTTTCAAACCTTCCCAGAGATGAAGCGGCCTTACCACATCGATTGAGGTTAAATTGTGCAAACACCCGGTACTCTTTTTACAAACTCAAAGGGGTCAATGAACCCAGCTTCTAACACTGCGGGACACGAGAAGGTATCGGACACGTGCCACTTTCCTGTACGAAATATGCAAAGGTGCGGAAGGCCCTTTACTAGTGGTATGAAGTTAGTGGCCTTCCCTACTCAACCGTCGAAAATCAAATGCACCACGCGCAACTTCAGACAAAGTCTACGAAGCCAATCATCCAACATTTTTGCTGAAAACGAGTCTGTGAAGAGACATCCCGAACAACAAGCCTACCCAAGTGCCAGTTTGAAGAGTATCGCCATGAACATTTTATCCTCACAATATTTCCAACCCTCCTGCTAAATCCTCACCCTGTCTCTTTCAATCATCATTCCTTTTACCATCGCATGGACATATAGCGATTTGCCTCGTAGATGATGCTTAAACTCTCCCGATTACATCCTCTTTCTAGACAAAAACAAAAATAACAAACGAAAATTAATTTGTTGGTTTTCTTGTTTTTTTCTGACTGACGGGTCACCACCTTAAAGCAAGTGAATTTATTTTTTCTAAATGTCAATTGGGTATTTTTTTATGCAATGAATCCGACGTAAAATATTAGGCTCATATGTTACTTAAAAGTAATATTTTGAAATATGTTGGAGCAAAACGATATATATTGTCGTAGGTTTTACTAACCTATCATCTTCCATGTAGTGATCATTATGTATTTGCCCAATATTGAATTAGAATTCAGTTAAAACGATTTATATTATAGTGACACTGAAAGAAACTCTTTTCATGAACACGAGCGTACTATGAGGGATGGGTTTGTTTTGGTGTATGCGAAAAGTAGTTAATACATTTTAATGCTATAAAGTGTGGAAGTAAGCTTACCTCTACTTTTTTTTCACCAACCGACTGTCAGTAAGAAAAACACTGCTTGGAAGCAACCGCGGCTCTGGAGACGGAAACGTGGGTGCTTTCGAGCTACGTATCTTACCTTATCTTTAAGGCTTCCTGACAAGAATAGAAGTGATAATGGTTGCCAACGAAGCTGTTTGCAGTTTTTATAGTGCAAATTCTAGTTATGATAGCAAGCTCCTGAGAAAAGGAAACAGGACGAAACACAGTTTTGTTTTAAGGGCGGACAAAGCGTTTTAGCACATTTTATTGTGGATCTATTTGAAAAAGACATAACTGGTACACAGAGCCTACATGAACGCACACTGTCGCACATTAGCGGCGATACCGACTCAATATGAGCGCAATTATAGAAGATCCACATAAACAAAATTGTTGTTTATGTGGACAAAGCTGACAATAACCAGATATATCTCATAACGTGACTGGAGTGCTCTACTATTGCGTATAGGAACCACCGCAAACGCTGTGGGTTTGCGATAACGTTGCGTGCTTCACTCTGCGCATACGCGTCGTCGCCATGTACCAATACAAGGACGTAGTTTGTGCTCCGCGCACGCGCAGTGTGGAACACGCGCCGCTAGCGCGTAGTGCTTGCGTTTGTTCGTTTACGCAATACTAAAACTCACTGATTACCGGAATGCATTGCTTTATGGGGTTGCAGCTCATTTGTGTGTTTCGCTTTCAAAATAGTCCCTGAGCTCGCTTTCCTGCAGAACTTAGAAGGAGGAAATCACGGCGACCAATAGAAGGATTCCAGAGAATGATAAAACTCAGAATACGATAAGACAAAAAATTCCATGTTCGCAGATTAATCAGTATTACATTGTACGCGTTCATTGGCTCTCCACAGATAACATTCTTCATATTGAATCGTTATCTTTACTTCGTCGTTCGCCGTGGTTGGCTGCGTCTGTTTCCTCTATGAAAGTGAACCTATATCGGTGCTTTCTGGGGCGTCATTTTCCACCCGTCATGATTAAACAGAAAATAGGTGCTTCACTTTGGGAACGACGCTTCTGATCATGTTCCTGTAGTGTGCGAGTTGTGTTCATGACAGGTCTGGATGATGTCGTTGACCCTCATGATGTTCCTTACATTTGATATTACTACTTCCTTAAACTAGGGTCTTTCGATGGGTCCAACTTACAATGGAATGAATCTCAGAAACTTGGGTAAGCCTAGTTTACCAACTCAAATATGCTGTATACGTTATCTGTCAGAACAGTAGAATATTTATCTGGTTACAGTGTGTTGCGGCATCTGCTCGAGCGTAGGAAACTTAATTTTTCTATTCGTAAATTAGAAGACATACATTTATTATATAATTAATAAAAAGTCATGGCCAGTTGTTTTATTCGTTATTGAATTAAGATTAAACAAATGTAAAAGGCTACTGTGCTGTTAAAAAAAACAAAGATTTTTCCGACAGGATACCCAACTACATATTAGTCAACAACCTAAATGAAGATAAGAATTTACTTTTTAGTTTATTTATGAATTATAGCGGCTGTCCAAATAAGATAAGTAAAGCAAAATTACATAAAATCATATACATAAAAAGGCTCATAGGTCTTTTTCGACCATTGGAGCCTCAATCTTCAAGCACGTGTTTATTGAGTAAACCATGTAATGAAATAAAAACACATCAAGAACGAGTACTATTATTATATTCAATTCATCAAAAAACGCAAAAGCTTGTGACGTATTTAAATAAAAAGGTTCAATCAAAGTAGGTTTTGCTTTTTTGATGGAGGAATCTTCTCGCTCCTCCCTCCGCCTTGCTTACCACGCGCATACTCAGCTGAAATGTTTCAGCCAAACTGAACTTCTTCAAATCTGGTCAAAACTAAACGACGTAACCCAGCTCTTCGGAACTGCAGAGAGCTTGACGACAGCAACTGCTTTCTTCTCTTCAATCCTTCTACGCAGACGATCCCGATGTTTTTCCCAAAAATGAGTTTTCCAATCGCCGACAATCCCCTTGTTGATCAAAATGTTCTGTGTCGACGGTTTTCCACATTCCTTGCAGACAAACCTCTTCGCAGCAGCTAGTATATCGCTGTCTCCTTTTTCCTCCATGCTCTTCATCGTGTCTTCCGTAATCATCAGAATCTGAGACAGACTCTGAATGCTGCTTCGATCGACAACCTTCTGGAAGAGTTCTTCGTTGGTCTCCAGCGGTCTAGCGTATTCTCCTCCAAGGAAACGAGCAAGTCTCAGGACAGTGTCCCTGAAGTTCCTCTTGAGTTCCTCGTACGTAACGAAGAATACGTTAGAGTCGTCCTTGTGGGAATACCAGGACATGAAGTGGTCAAAGAAGTCCCAGCGGTTGTTCTT